ATGCTGTGTATAGTCACAAACACTAAAACTCATTTCCCCAGTGGTATTTTATCAAGTTTCACTTCTCTGAAACATCTCCTTGCTAGGGATAGTTCTCTTCAGGGCAGATCTTCATCCCTAAACAAAAAATAACAATTTCTGCATTGTGTTCAGGTAAAAAAAATCTACCAGAATGACAAACGCCTTGCGGCTGGCAACCACACGGTTGAGCTGCTCCTGCATGACTTTGAGAAAAATTATCACATGTATGTGTATCCTGTGCACTGGCAGTTTCATCAGCTTGATCAGCACCCTGTTGACAGGTAAAAAAATCTTTGTGGGTTCAGTTCTGATTTGCTGTTTAAACTCGGGCTGTTTTGACTCTCTAAACCACTCAAAGGATTCTGTACATATAGAACCAGTCCCTCAGATCTTAGAAGCCAGCATCCTCCTCTTTCTAACACAGAACTTCTTCCCTCGTTGTTTTCCTGCAGTAATGTCTTAGGTCAGAATTTGCTCTCCTCTTGCCTTGCATAATCCTGTATTACACTCTGTAAGTTCTACAGAGTCATAATAGCAACTAATGCCCTGAACCAGGAAGAAATCCTGTTACTACTGAAGCTAGGAGCAACAGGCTAAGTACAAAGGACAGAGTCCTGTCAGTACTAATTCACTAGTGAGGTACCCACAGTTCTCAACTACTACCACAGTTTAAGGAGCAGATATGTAAGACAGAACCAGTGTCACAGTTCAGAGGAAGCTCACAGCTTCTGAGAAGACCCAGATTTCAGGCTTTTGGTCATATCACTTGGTGATGGGATCCATTTTTCAAAGCTCTAGGCTCTCAATACCTCATGACAATCACACCCACTGTCTTCGAACATAGCTAAGTACCTTTGCAAGCTTGATCTCCTGAGGATTAACAGCAAAACTCCATAAATGATGAGTTTTGAGCAAGTCACTATTTGTCATACTAGTAATTACTACACAAGGAATACTTTGTTTGATAAAACAAAACTTAACAAACAAATAGCAGCTAAAACATTTTAGATTATTGGGTATTATATATCATCATAATGACCTGGGACAGATTCACTTCAGAAGCACCACAACAGAATCCACTGGGGTGTCTCTGATAAAGGCACTGTTGATGTCTTCTAGCAGCTTAGATCATCTTTGATAATCCTGATGATTTAATAATGAAATACAGCTCTACACACCTGCTCTTTCTTTCAGATTATTAACACACTCAGAGCTCGCGCCTTTGAGAGCCTCCCTGGTTCCCATGGAACACTGCATAACCCGTTTCTTCCAGGAGTGCGATGGAGACCAAGATAAACTCATTGCACTGAAGGAATGGTGCCACTGCTTTGGGATTAAAGAAGGTAAACACAAACGAACAGGCAGATGTGCCTGACAAAATGTTCCTATCAGGACTAGGCACATTCTCAGATCACAACGTGAGGCAAAGAAATTGTAACCAGAAGCTCATGGCTACTGTACTGAGAGGCAAATAGAACAGTAATGACAAGACAGCAAAAGGGGCAAGGTTCTACATTTTTTTCATAAAAACAGGAAAAAGGTCTGCCTCTCAAGAAACACTCTATTTTATCCTTCAGTGCCAAAGGAAAGGTTAAGTGAGCTTGCACTTTTAAATCAGTGGTCAAAGCATACTGATTGAAAATGCATTTAAAGATCTCAAGCCAAGTAGGGTAAACAACCAAGATCTTTCACTGATCAAGCAGAGATTGATCAAACTCTAGATTACAATACACAACACAGATGCTCTCATCACACTGTAGGCTATTTCACTTAATCTGTCGCTTGCAACACGTGCCCACCAGACTGCATGCAACAGGAAGCTTAGGCAGAGGCAGGGACAATTTCCAAATCCTAAACAGGATAGGCACATATTTGGTTCAGCTCAATCCACATTGAGACCTCTGTAGGATAGTAAAAAGTTTGGTACTACTGTGCTGGTGATACCTCTAGAATTAGGCAGCAGCTGAACAGAAGCTGTCATGATAGCAATTTGATATTTATGAGATTACCGCACTCAACATAAGGCGTTCTTTCACAATCTACCTTCTTCTGATCTAGCCCTGAGTGATAGCTGGACAATACTGCCAGCCACTAAGTAAGGGTTAAACAGGTTAATCCCAGAAGAGTTATGTGACAGAAGGCATTTGGCTAAATATTCAGACTGAATAAATGTGTTCAAAATCCTACTAGTAAGTCCCTAATTTTAAGTGGAGGCTGATTCTGGTCAGAGGTCAGATACACAAAGGCTTCACTGTTCCTAGAATTTTTCCAGCTCTTCTGATGACAATTTAGCAGTCACAATACACAGGTGGAAAAAAGCTGCAAGAACTTATCTTAATACACATATACTGCTGCCAGTGTTTGCTCATTCACAGGGTCAGTCATTCATGAAGAGGGAGGTGGAAGGCATTCTTGGCTCACAAATAGATCAAGGAGACCTAACACTAGAAACAAGAAAGCATCATCAAGAAGTGTCTAAATGAATGGCTCTTAAGCAGCAACCATACTTGTTTTTTGACAGGGACAGCGTTCCCCTACATGAATCCTCCGAAACTTTAGTGTACCAATTTATTGATAGTGATACAGCACAAAAATGCCTTTTTGGCATAAAATGTTAATAATGCTTTCTTCTTCTTTGTTGCAGAAGACATAAATGAAAATCTCCTTTTCTGAGCCTGGCTGAGCAGATTCCCAGTGCTGCACTAAAACTGGTGAAATATGTGAACCCTGTCTATTTCTGTTATTAACAGCTTCATAGCTTTCAAGACAAAGGTGGTGTAAGGTTCACTGCATTCTTATAAAATAACACAAGTGCAGAACCAGTAAATAGTACTAACCTAAAGACTGACCTGTTTACAAAACTCTTCAGTAGAATTATAGAATTTAGATTTTACTATACACTGAAATGGGACTTGTTTCCTTTATTTACTGTATTGTCAGCTTAACATTCTGCATAGAAGTCTCAAATAAAATGTCTACCTATATATATGGTTTTTGTCAGAACTTTGTTAAAGAAAAAGTACCAAGGCAGTGGAAAGGTTCAATGAAAACTTCATTTCAGATATAAAGGAGGAGAAGAAATAGAGCGTAGATCACACACACCAATCCTGAACCCAAAATTCAGTAAAAAAGATCAGCACTTTTCAGATACTTCTTCCCCTGCCTCTTGAAGCACAACAGTAATTGTACCAATGCCACACAGCAGAACTGCTGCTGACAAACTCTGTATGAGCATGGTGAGTGTGGGTGCATATCAAGACTGCTTAGCAACACGTCCACCATCACAAGCAGCAGAGGATATCACAGTTCCAACACCTCCTTATTCTCCTTAGCAGACACATTCTTCCTTCATCTCCCAGAAGCACCAACTAGTGCTACCATTTTTTTTCTGAGAAAAAAGGCTAACTGTGTCTTTCACCATCTCCCATCTCTTGCTGGCCTCAAGAGAGGCACAACTGAAGCATAAAAAAGTCAGGACAGGATGAGATTATTCCTGAATCCCATTAACTCTGTGATTTTATTTTTAAGCACTTCACTGAAAACACTCCAATCAAGCTCTGCTTTAACGAAGAAGCCCCAAATGCTATTCCTACAAAGGAAGGTCAGAAAACACATTTCACCTGAACCATGTCACCTTTCCAATGAAAAGAATATAGGATTCAGAAATGCTATTTTGGTAGCTTAAATAGTGGAAGTCCCCAAGCTACGATTATATTTAACACAGGAACTTCTTACATAAACCAAGGATTATTTCCCAGAGAAACTGGTTCCATTGACAGTTTTTCCCCTGAGTCTGACTTATTGCTCACTTCACATTCTGTAACAACACACAAAAGTGTATATAAAACAACCTGGATTGCATGTACAAAAGCATATTCTTGGTGCCAATTCCATTTGGAAAAGATCCTTTCCCTGGGACAGCAAATGTCACGGGGAAAAAGTAATTTTGACTGCACTTTTTCTACCTGACTGCAGCCTGTTGCTTATTTGCTCTTTCTGCAGCCAAGACTCAGCCACCTTAAAACAATCAAATATAGTTCCCATAAGGATAAATCACAAGAGACTGACCTACTCACCACTGCTCCACTCAAACCAAGTACTAGAAAAAGATACAATGAAATTGTACAAGATTTTCCCCAGATACATGTATTACACTTACTAGTAAAACAATCACTAAACAGAAGGATCAAGCAAGCACCACAGCTGAAAACTTATTTTCAATAGCTATTTTCAAGAACTCTTTCAACAGCTTTTTGTTTAATCTGCACAGAGTTGGATGGCAGAAAGCACAGCTCTCAAACTGCAAGTACACTGCTGGTACACAGCTGGATTAAAAAGGTAGCAGGGACTTTAACTCACAAGATCCCATTTCTTCTGGAAAAAGAAAGTATGTACACTGCATCTCAGTCAGCAGCTTCAGTACTCTAGGTATTGTCCCCTAGCATCACTAAGGTGCAAAACATTACAGTCAGAATAACTATGTTGAAAAAAACCCACCACAAATATTCCTTTTATAAGACACACACTTCCATTGCCCAGCCTTTCTTAAGGAAAGATAAAGACAACTAACAGCAATTACTCACTGATTAAAAACACAGGGAGAAATGTCAGCAATTGTCGTGCAGCTCCTGTTAGCAGCATAAGTGCCATAGAAGGCCCACATCAGCCTGCAACTTACCCACATTACCTAAAGGCTTAAATTCACAAGATTATACCTTAAGGCTGCTCCTTCCAATGATTCTGTTTATGGTACAGTCTCCCCAACAGCTGTACTGCCATAAACAGTGGGAAGAGGGACCTTAAAATCCAGCTCTCCAAATCAGTCATCAAGTTTCATCCTTCAACAGTTATCTTTTAACACAGAGGCACTGTCACACATTCAGATGTGAATACCATCCATACCATAAACTAAAGAGTGATTAAATGTGAAAACCAATCTCTCAAAATGGAAAATCACTGCAAGGACGTGTCAAGCGAAATGATTCAAAAAAGAAACTTCACTTTATTATGTAGCACTTAAATTAAGTCATTATCCAGGTTATCCTACAAGTCTCACATCCCTTAAGGATTCACTCCTGACAAGGAATCAGTGCAAAAATACAGAGCTAAAGTGAACAGCTTCTGAACCACCACCAGTCAGAATCCCAGTGTGGCTGTGCACATCTGCAGATATGATGAAACAGCTGCAAATAACGAAGACAAGGAAGCAAAGCAAGGTCAGATCTCCTCCTGCATCTCATTTCACACTAGCTAAGAAATTAAAAGAAGCAAATTCAAGTCTCTGAAAAACCTTCTATTTATCACTGATGATTGTTTTTTCCAGCTGAATTTCACAGAATTTTCACTGAATTTCCTCTCAAAATGACAATGTCATCTGTTTCAAGGCTGGAAAACATATTCTTCTCCTGATGTCTGTCAGTTCCTCGTTGACATCACTCATGGCACTCAGGTCCAGGATCCTCACTCCAGTGGGCTCCCCGTTTTTCAGTCACAAGCTTAATGAAGTAGCTATGACTTGCATACAGCTCAAGCTTCTCACTGATGTCAATCCACTTGACTACTCCAGCATCATCACCTGCTTCCAAAGGCAAATTATCCATTGTCTCACCTGTTCACAAAAAAAAGAATTAGGACATGCTATTGTATCTTTTCTTCTTGTTTTTTCTTCCCAGATCTAATCAGTTCCCCCTTCCACAATGCTTCTTCACAGGCAGCAACTTCTTCTCAGAGAAAAAAGAAATAAGTCGCTCACTGATTCTGTGCCAGAAGCCTTTCTCATACTTGTACTATTTTAAGGCAAATCTGAGTGGTGCAGGTAACTCCTTGTCACCACTTGTAGGGTACCATGAGCAGCACAAAAAGTTACTTGAAATCATCAGGACAACACATACTCACTACCCCAAGTTTAGCCAATCCCTCTGCCTTGATTTTTGTTTGTTTGCCTAACATTTGACTGCTGCTTTTCTCAGGTATTATTCTACGTGAAAAACTGAATTCTGAAACATATATGCACTTATGAAAAAACAGAATAACTAAAACTTTACTAAAGGCCCCAAAATCAAAAATACTACTTAAGAAGAGATGCAGAAAGGCTTCTGAAACGCTCCCTCTAAGTTTTTACTCTGTTTCTAAAAAAAGAGTCCCAGGACTTCATAGACAACAACCAAGAAAACGCTTTTAAATTCTGCATTAGAAACAAAGACCAAAGATATAGGATTTCCCCCATTTCTGGGGGCTGATAAATCAAGGACCAGTGACATGTGAAACTTCACAGCTGGTATCTACTACTCAAAATTCAGTGGAAATGTCACTATATGAAGTCTCTGACTTAACAAGTCAGAAACACCTGACTAGATTGATGTCTCTTGCAGGTGAAAAATGAGAGTCCAAGATAACAGATCATTCTAAGAATCTAGTCCCATATTTTACACCTGACTTGCATGTTCTGCCATTCTCAGCTCAATATAGGTCCCAATTTCAAACAAGCACATGAAGTAAAAGGCAACTAAGAGCACATATGGAGATACTCACCTGTTTCATCATGATAGTTCACAGCCTCTGTCTCCATCCAGGCATTATCAGTGTTACGAGGGTCATCCACATATCCTCGGTACACCTAAGGCCCCAAACAAACCAAAATAAGCTCAGCATCACAACAAACAAGGTGGAATCACAACAAACAAGGTGGAATCACTAAGATTTTTTTCCTTTCCTCTAGCACATTTGCCCTTACAGCATTTTCAACAGTCCCTTCCATTTCCTACACCACGAGAACCTGAGCAACGTAACTTATTTTCATTTCAGCTACATTTTCTCAAGTTCCATAACCTGTGAGTTACATGCATAGCTCAAGAGGCTATCACAAGAGACCCAGAGCTCACCACAAAGTGTTCCTGGCTGAACAGCTTGTGGAGCTGCTTCTCCAATTTTGCTTTCTCCTCGGGCGATTTCTGCAAAGAGTTCAAGGCCTCCTCCCCAAATTCCCGCCTCAGGGTAGCGCTGATCTTCTCCCCTGGGTCCACCATCCCCTTAGAGGAAGAAAAACAAAAAAGGTGATTTTTTTCAATCCCTCAGATCTGACCTGCTTTAACTCCCAGCTCTTAGTATATTACATCCACCTGCATCATACTGGACACGGGAGGAACTTTACAATCAGCTGTAAAGATCAAGCACATACGCCCTTCAAAACCTGCAGTGGAATCAACTGTGCCTGCATTAAGCAAGACATGGGCAGATTTAAACAGGAATGCCACTTTGCAATGCAGAAACATCAGAAGGCATGCCTGGGCAAAGTTAGTTCAAGGAGCCTTTCTCTTCACTGCTGCAACACCAGGTCATTCATCAAAAAGCACTCTTCTATCACAGGCATGCCAGTTATTGCCTCATGGCCTCACCAGTGGGGGGAGATGTCAATGTCTCTGGAGATTTCCCCTTACCCCTGGAATGGCCCACTCCCCACAGTCTCTCCTCTTGATAGCCACAAACTGCAAGATGTTTTTGCCAGTAACTGGATGAGCAACTTTATTGCCACTTCCGTCCCTTTTCCACCTGTAGCAAACGACAAAGGCACAAACACCCACCACTGCCTTCAGTAAAGGATTAAGAACTACCAATAGTTAAAGCAAAAAGCTGTCCAAACAAAAACTTAAACAAAAGCAGCATGTCCTTGACTTTCAAGGAAGCAACTTGGTAGCAATGGCATCATTCTGAAAAGGGGAAGAACTAAAATGTACCAGGATGATTTTTCACAACAGTTCTACCTTCAGCATGGCACTTCCTAACTTGCACCTTTGTTGACTACACAGTCTTTTCTGAATGCCTTGTGTACACACAGATCCTGCTGGTAAAAGTACATTAAAACAAAGCACATGCTGACCAAAAGAGGATCTTAACCACACATCCTCCTATAATATAGTAAGTCAAGTTACTGTTTCTTACATAACAGAAGCAGGCACGTAGCTTTTTATTCTTTTTTTTTTTGCAATTGTGTCATTATGACAAAAAAACCTGTTCTTGCAATTTAATTTCACATGCCTCATTTAAGGCCTTTTGGCAGTGTAGTATCAAAGCATCACATAATCCTTTCAGTTCTTATATTTGTTACTGAAGATTCTTTATATAATCTATTTCCATTGAATTATGCTTCCTGGGTTATTTGTTTGGTTTTTTTTAATGTGCTTTCTCAGCATTTCAGAAGCAATTGCTTGTAATTAGCAGTGAGTCCTTACTCTTTACCATGTGTTCCTCATGTCTGTGTATCTCTCCACTCAGATACCCATATCTGAATGGGCTCACATATAGAGAACACACACACGAAAGGGCCACAAAAAGTAATAGCCTGTCCAGAGATGCACAGAAGAAACAAAATGCACTTTTTCTGTACTGCAGGGCACCTTGCAGTCACCTGCCCCTTACCTAGTTACGATGGGATCAGCAGCATGGTTTGGTCCCCAGCGCCCCAACAATCCTCTGCCTGTGAGGCCAGTCCTTCCCGCTGGATTTCTGAAATAAATGCCACAGTACACAACTTAAGAGTCCTGAACTGGTTCTAATCAGAAATTAAGCCCAGTTGCACCCTGATCTCTGAATTAGGACAATGCTATTGTCCCTCTGATCTCTGAGGGTCAGCTGGAATGCAAGGGGGTTTATTTACTGCTAAATTTATATACCCTTGACACAACAGTACACTAAACATATTTATTTCCCTGCATTCAAAAGATGCTCCAAGTATTCTAGAAAAAAATAAAACCAAAAAATCAGTTTTAAGGAAGATTAAATAACAAAAAAGGAAAGGATAGCAACATGCATTCAGTGTCCTCATGGGCTTTAAAAGGGAAGAGACACAGCATGGTTTTCTCCTTCATCAACCTCTTTTTGTGTTTAATAGCACTGGCAAAGGAAAAAGACAAAACAGCTTTGTCATTTTTCAGATCTTGTGTCCCGAAATGGTCCTGATCAGGCATCACTCTCATTATGCACACAGTCTTGTCTGAAAATGGAATCTAGTTTCCAAGACTATAGATGCATGGAGCATTCAATTATGTACAAAAGGCAGAAAGAAGAGAAACTATTTTTAGGTGAGATTACCCATCTGTGCTACGCCAGGGTTTGTCAGTGGAAAGAAATACTCTACTCCTCCACCTTAGCACACAAGTGGAACAAAAGCTTCAGAGCCCCACATTTGGTCAAACTGTGGAAACAATTAACCCAACAAACCCTACTATTGACAGTATTAGACCTCCCCTGACTCCAGTGCCACCACCACCCTATGTTGTGGCAGTAGTACTGGCTAACCATTTCACGCCTCTCTGCTACAATCTTCTTCCAAGAAGAACTCTGGCTCCAAGGTATCAGTTTTCCTGTCTCTAGGGGAGACTATCTTGGCTTTGTTCCAGCAGGTACCACGTACCAAAACTAACAGACCTGCCGGAGGACTGAAACTACATCACTGAAATAAATATGCAAACAAAAAAACCACACTCACCGGGGTCTCCCATTTTCAACCACGTACAAGCCATTCAGACTCTTCCTCTCCACTTCTCCATCTCTCTCATTGAATTTGGGAGAAAAACCTTCATCACTGTGTGGAAAATAATGATTTAATAGAGATACGTTATAAAACACAAAACACCCCTCTGCCCCCCAAAACCATCAGACTGGCAACACTCATTTGACCAATGAGTAGTTTTTACCAGAACTTATGTTGCAGACTCTCCCTTTTCTTTATATAAAGTCTCAACCTTTATTCATTATATTCTCCCTACATTTAGTTCTGCAGGAAAAGTGCAGAACTAAAGTATTTAACATCATATCTCTGTAAATTTTCATTTAGACAAAATGTTTCAAAGGTATTCTCGTTAAAGTTAGAATCGTAGAATCACAGAACTGTTTCAGCTGGAAAAGACCTTGAAACTTATTCAGTCCAACCATTTACCCAGCACTGCCAAGCTCACCACTAAACCATGTCCCTAAGTGCCACATCTACATGTATTTTAAATACCTACAGAGATGGTGACTCAACCACTTCCCTAGGCAGCCTGTTCCAATGCTTGATAAACCTTTTGGTGAAGAAATTTTCCCTAATATCCAAACTAAACCCCCTCTGGCACAACGTAAGGCTATTTCCTCCTGTCCTATCCCTTGTTATTAGGGAGAAGAGACTGACACCCGCCTTGCTACAACCTCCTTTCAGGTAGTTGTAGAGAGCAGTAAGGATCCCCCTGAGCCTCCTTTTCTCCAGGCTAAGCACCCCCAGCTCCCTTGGCTGTTCCTCACCACACTTGTGCTCCAGAACCTTCCCCAGCTCCATTGCCCTTCTCTGGACACACCACAGCACCTCAATGTCTTTCTTGTAGTGAGGGGCCCAAACTGAACATAGGATTTGGGGTGCAGCCTGACCAGTGCCGAGCACAAGGGGACAATCACTGCCCTGGTCCCGCTGGCCACACTATTCCTGATCCAGGCCAGGATGTCACTGGCCTTCTTGGCCACCTGGGCACACTGCTGGCTCGTGTTCAGCTGCTATCAACCAGCACCCCCAGGTCCTTTTCTGCTGGGCAGCTTTCCAACTCTTCCCCAGCCTGTAGTGCTACACGGAGTTGTTGTGATCCAAGTGCAGGATCCAGCACTTCACCTTATTGAACCTCATCCAATTGGCCTCGGCCCATTTATCCAGCCTGTCCAGGTCCCTCCACAGAGCCTTCCTACCCTCCAACAGATCAACAAACTGGCACAACTGGGTGTCACCCACAAAGTGACTGAGAATGCACTCAATCCCCTTGTCCAGATCATCAGTAAAGATACTAAACAGAACTGGCCCCAGTCCTGACTTTAAAATTTTTAAAGTATTGCTAACACCTACTAAAAGATTACACTGTCACAACTTGCCTTGGCAGAACATCAGCACACCTGTGGAGTCTGAGGATTGCCTTGTAATCAACAGAATATTAAACCCCACTAAGAGTAAACAGGAGCACATGTTCACACAACACTGGGCAACAAGGAAGGTAAGGCTGAAACCTCAAGAGCCTACACAGATGTGCATACATAGGAATCATCTTTTCACATTTATCACAGGTTACACCAGATGCATGCATTTAACTTTCTAGCCAAGAAGCATACAGCATTTCTTGAGAGGAGAATATTCACTGAATCAATAAAAATGAATACACATAGTCAAAAACCCCACAACAATTACAGTCATGCATTCAACCTGTCATATTTCCTGAGTCAGAGCACTCAAGAACTGCAATTCTACTTTCTTTTCTCATGTTGCATTCAATCCATGAACAAATAAGTATATAATGAAAATACTGTCCCAAATTCTTAAGGAGAATTAGGAAATTTTTATTTAGCTCACAACATAGAGAAACACTGCACAGCATCAACAGCTCAGTAAAATGATGTGTCAAAGATCTTCACAGCTAACCCAAACAACTCAGTTCTCTAACCAACACTTACACTTGACTTTCCCACATCACTGCAGAATCACACATCACTTAAAATTATGATCTTGTTAACTCAGGTCATCACTATTCCCTGCTTCCATGTTTATAGAAGAAAAGAGCCACCATTTCCACTCACTTGATTTGGGGATCTGCCCAACTGGGTCCAGACAAAACAGACTTTGCAGTGTACTCCACAGGATTATAATCTTTCCATTCCGTCAACCAGCCCACTTTATCTTCTGGAACTTGGCTACGCTCAACGTGTGATCCTGGATATGGGGAGGTGAGAGCTTTGCTGTGGTAGAACTTAACATTGTAACTGTTGAACATGTTCACAGGATGAAGATGGGACCAACAGTTTGCAGATGAGTTACTGAAAAATAAACAAAAAAAAGAGAAATATGAATCTCATTCATTAGGCTTTAACCTGTAATCTAATACCAGATCTGCAGGGTACAGGATAGCAAGCAGAATAGACCCAGCTCTTTCCAGAAGACAGTTCTCAGTAATATATCACTGCTTCTTTCAGTGATGTACCATACCAAATGTATGCAGGCCCAACAAGTCTGAATTTTATCATCAGCTACTTGAAGCAGAAGATACTCTACTAAATACACATGAAGATTTAACAGCATGAGGAAAAGCTGAAAACTAGAATTGCCATTCCAGGCTGTGTGTAACAGTGACTAGTCAGCAATCATATACAAGGAACACCCCAAAGATATTTATGATAAATGTAGTAAGAAGTCTGCTAAAGCATTAACTATCTATTTAAATCTTTATTAAATCTCTATTCATCAATAAAGCAACACAGCCTTGCAAGAGTCCTGTTCTTGCATCCAGTGGTAGACCACGTAAGACCAAGAATGAAATATCTAAGAGCCTGAGCAACACAGTTCTTCAAGTTGCAGTGAGCACCAAAATACCATTTTGTGCAATACAGATATGGGATAACACATACTTTGCTTTTCAGTTTAAAAAAAGGCTAGAACTGTCAAACACGGTTAAAAGAAAAAATACTTGAGGCCTCTATTTATTTTATTTTGCCATGGGTTTTCAGAAGCTGAAAGACCAGTCAACAGTAAAATACAACAGGTTGGGTTACAGTGCCTGTTCATCAGCTCTTAAAAACTCTACACAGATTTTCTTCAACATACTAAGTGGCCTTCTTGAACTCAATTTTTTTTTACTTGTTACAAAAAAAAGATTACTTTAGACAAGAGCCTTAAAGCTCAGCAAGGGGTTATTACCTAAAAAAGTACCTTAGAAACAAGAAATTCATACAGTCTTAGAAAAGTTATGAGGGTTTTATCAATAAAGAATTGCTTCCTCTACATAAGGAAATATATTTCCTCTGCAAAAGAGTATTTAGATTTTAACCACCTAACATCTGAGCATGGTGATGATGGGACTAATGAGTTTCAGGTAAAAAAAGAAAAAAAAATATTCATACATTATTTCCCCTGGTATTTGAACCCAGGTGTGAATATTAGATTAGAACCAGCAAAACAGGCCATGCTTTTTCAAAAACAGCAGTTCCAGTGCCAAACACCTCAGATGCTGTGAAATCCTCAGGTGCATCTAGGAGAGGAGGTTCTGCTTCTCACTGAAGCTGAGAGTTCACTGGCACAAGCACAGCACGCGTCACATTCACTGTTGAGCTGATGTTCTCAAAAGCACAATTCACAGAATCAATTGGGTCGGAAAAGACCTCCGAGATCGAGTCCAACCTCTGACCAAACACCACCATGTCAACTAGACCACGTGCCACGTCCAGTCTTTCCCTAAACACCTCCAGGGACGGTGACTCCACCACCTCCCTGGGCATCCCATTCCAACGCCTGAAGACCCTTTCTGTGAAGAAATTCCTCATAATATCCAACTCAGAAAACACCTGAAGTTCAAAAAACCACAAACCCCTAGCAGAGACGTGGCAAAGGGCAACATTCCTTTTGTATTTTTCGGTAATTACATTGCTTCAAAGGACAGGCCGGTTTGGGTTTCTGCCGTGCCCAAAAGGGACACCCCTCAGCGCCATCGCACGCCCCGCGCCGAGCTCCCCCTGCGCTGGTAGGGGACGGAAGGCAGCCCCGGGATAGAGGGCAGCCCCGGGATAGAGGGCAGCCCCGGGATCTCGGCCCGGCCGTGCGGCGGCTGCTCCCCGCAGAACAGGGCACCGACCTCCGGCAGCGACACCCTCGGCCGCGCTGCGGACGCGCCCGGCTCCCCCGCGCACAGCGCGTAACCTGAGGGCCGGGCGGCGCTGGGCAGCGCTCCGGGCCGACAGCACCACGGACAACGAGAGCACGGCCACCGCCCGCCGTCAGGGACCCGGCCGGCACGGCATTCGGCGGCGGCCCTCCGCGGCCCACGCGGCGGAGCGAGCCCCGCCTAGCCTCGCCCGCCGGCCGGGAGACGGGAGTCTGGCGCCCGGGCTCGGGATGGGAAGCGCTCGCACGGGCGTGCGAGCAGCCGCTCCAGGACACCGCTTCAAGGGACAGCCGTGCCCTTCCAGCTCTACCCTCGGCGGTCAAGAGCCGCCCGCCGGCCCCGGTACAAGCTCGCCCCGCATTGGGCGGAGCGGCGCCAGTGACGAACGCCCCGCACCGGGACTATCTGGGATAGAGCTCGTTCCCTACGGTGCTAGGCTGGGCACTGGTACCTAGAACGGGGGCCGGGAACACAGCAGTGTTTGGGCTACTGCAGAGCACCGCTCCCACAGTACCAGCGCTGTCTCTCCAACATTCCGCCGGCCATCAGCAAGGGCGGGATGGGGAAGATCCTGGGAGGGGACTCCGCGAGGCCAGCTGACCCAAACTAACCAAAGGGATGCTCCATGCCGCCTGACGTCAGCTCAGATATGATACTAAAAAAAAAAAAAAAAAAGGAGGAGGGCGCAGGGGAGGGCATTTGCTATTTGCAAAGTTCGCCTTCCGGAGCGACCCCTACGTGTGCTGAAGCCCTGCTTCCCGGGATGTGGCCGGACGCCGCCTGATCATGGGAAACAGAGAATAACTTCTCTCTTTTTTTCACCTCTTTGCTTGTGCGTGCGCAAACTTTCGATTTTACTTCTGTAAACTGCTTTGTCTCAACCTGCGGGTCGCTTTCCGTGTTATTCTCCATCCCCTGCCCGGCCGGGAAGGGGGAATGACAGAGCGCCTTGGAGGGCACAGCCCACGCTCCAGCCCCCGCCGGCCCCGGCCCGCGGCTCGGGCCCGGCCCGGGCCACGCCCCGCGCTCAAGCGCGCTCTGATGGGCGCTGGCCGCGGGGGGCGGAGCTCGCGGCCGTGGGCCGGGCGGGGGTGGCGGGGACCTCGGCACATTTCGGGCAGCGAAGGAGCCTCGGGAGAGCCATGAACCTGTTCCTGGAGCTTCTCCTGTTTCTGGGCACGCTCGTCTACTCCTACCTGGAGGCTTTCGTGAAGCTGTTTGTCCCCGTGAGGAGGAAGTCTGTCAGCGGAGAGCTTGTGCTCATCACGGGTGCTGGCCATGGCGTCGGCAGAGCGACCGCCCTCGAGTTCGCCAAGCGCCAGAGCAGGCTGGTCCTCTGGGACATCAGCAAGGTAATGGCACAGCTCGTGTCCTCACTCCTTCACCTCCGAGCCCCATGGGGTTCAGGAGCGTAAGAGGGGCATCACCAGATTGCATCCACAGCAGCTCCTTCCCCCTGCGCTGCCGTCGGCTCACGGCCGGCTCTGGCTGGCCCGCTGAGCGCCAGGAGAGGGTTTGGCCCCGCTGGCAGCAGAGGATGGAGGGCTCTGGGTCCCGCAGTTCCTCGGTGCTGCTCAGCGAGGGGGCAGGCAGCGCCTGGCAGAGCCCCTGCGAGAGGGAAGTGCGTGCTCCGAGAGCTGCTGCTGGAACCGCTGCCTGGGCTGGCAGGCAGAGCACGCCCAGACCAGCAGCCTGCGTCCACAGAGGAGCAGGTTTGCCTCCGCTGAGTGTCTCTGGCCTCAGGCTTTTTGCGTACAGTTGCTGGAAGGTGTGTTTTCTCTTTACTCATCAACTGCACTTGCTGTGCTGAGCTGTGTGTGAGCTCTGCTGCCGCCCTCTTGGGGCAGCTACAAGTGTAGATGGCTCCTTGCTGAATGTTTCATACTGGCCCAAAAGTGTTTCACGATAATTTGCACTGAACGCAAAAAGACCTTGGCAAGTGGAGGACGGACAGGTACAAAGATGCTCTTGGCAGTCAGATAGGGATCGAGGCCAAGTGTGAAAGGTGCAAGCAGCTGTGGCAAGGGAGGATGAGAGGCGGAGAGCAGAGAGTGGGAAAGGTTTCTGACACAGTGGTCAGGAGAGGAATTCAATACCTGTCGTCCTGAGCTGCAAAACCAAAATCCAGCCCACCACAAAACAAACAAAGAAACACCACAAAATCCAAGACAAGCCGAGGATAAGGGGTTGTTAAGCAGGGATAAGGTACTGTTTAGAACATTTTCAGTGTCTGTTCGTGCTGCCCATTATGGCCTGGACCCAAGACACTGGAGAGGTGGCAGGAGGCCATAGCACTGCTCCCCAATAGTGTACAGGTCGCAGCACAGTAGAAGCATTGTCCATTTGCCTGGATGGGAATTCGGGGAATTAAGGAATAAATTAGTAGCGAGCGACACCTGGTTTGGTGTGGGAGATAGAACTGTAAGGTGGGCGTAAGGAGGAACTGAAATACAATACCAATAGGGGTGGTGGATTCCAGAGGATTTAGGACTGTGCTTCTCCAGTCAGCTACCTAGTCCAAAGCCTCCTTCCTGGGAGGCCTCAAGCCTTAAGACAGAGCCAGGACTGAGGGCCACTGCCCAGTCACCCACTGCAGGGACCTGCACAGGTAATGTAGGTGCTGAAGCTGCCCGGCTATTTTGTGACGTCTGAGGCCTTCACTGCACAGGTCCCTCTGGCGCCTGGGGACAAGCTCTACATCCCACTCACTTCTGGCCTTTGTGTCGGGGTTGACAGAGAACCTGTCAGCAGCCTGGCAATTAGTGATGAGGAATATAACCAGCTTTTAGGAAATATTTACTGTAATGCCAGACGGAACAAACGTAATGCAGCCCAGACCAAAGGTCACCAATTAAAATGTGTATAGTGTCACCAATAGCATGTCACAGCATGGACAGTGTCTTCAGTGTCACCAATAAGAGTGTGTGCAGTGTCTACAGTTTTTTATGCTTGAGACTTTTGACCAATTGTGTTGTGGCACGATAGTGTACAAAGAGTATAAAAGAAACACTTGAGAGCAATAAACAGCTTCCTGTTCACCTTACACCTGGACTATGTCTGATATCTGTGTCGCTTTGGCCGTTCCGACATTATCAGCGACAGTCTTGTCTTAGTGGGTTGATGTAATGATTTAGGGAAGCTTCTGTTCTGTGTGTATCAGATGCCATTCCTGAAATGCCATTTTGCACTGTGGAGGGCATCTCTTTTCTTACACCTAGTCTGTGAATACATAGAAACCACTTTTCATATCTCAAAGTGTCAGACAGGCCTGTGTTTTAAGAGTTCTGTTTACACTCACAGTGTCTCCCTGCTGTGCTGTGATAGGCACTGTGAACCCCCTTTCTGCAGCCTAGTTACATGTGCCTTACCAAGGCAAACTCGCTCTTGTTGCCACATTGCCTTTCTGGCAGTCCCTCTAGGCAGGTCCAAAATTTAAGGCTGGAATACCTGTCCTCTCAAGGACCCCACCTACAGCTCTGTCCCTGGGTAACCATGGGGTGTGGCTGTGTTTGTACAGTTAAGAGACATCTCCAGGCTGTAACTGCTCTGCCGAGATGCCTGAGCAGCAACACGTGGGCAGGGCACAGTTGTGCATGAGTGTCTTCTTTTCTGCCCCTTCCAGCACGGCGTTGAGGAGACGGCAGCAGAATGCAAGGGTCTGGGGGCCACTGTTGAAACCTTCGTGGTGGACTGCAGCAAACGGGAGGAGATCTACAGCGCTGCAGAGAAGGTAGGGCAGCAGGGGCACGGACAGAGGCTCACCCAAACATGCTCCATTTCCAGAAAAGCTGGGACAGCTGGAGAAGAGGCATTGCACACAAATCATGCAAGGCCTTGGAACCTCCCCACTCCTCACTGCTCTCTGTACACAGAGTGGTGAGGCATTTCCAAGATCACACCCTTTAGTGATGCTCCAGGGTATCATTCCTCACTGCCAAGTTTGCTCTGAAGAGTTCCAGCCTCTGAAGAAACACAGGCAGCACTGAGGACATATGAATGTAAAGGTTGTGGTCCAGCTGGCTCAAAACTGTCTGTACCTCCATAGTCCCAGCTGTGACTACACAGTCCAAACTGTGTGTGCACACAGTGTGTGGAAGACAATAAATTTTGGCAGTAATTGTTTAAGGGAGAAGAATCAGATCTAAACTAGATCTCATGGTAATTACCTCACAGTTTCTGCCACATCTGGAAAGGTACCATGATCTTCCTCTCCATAAAAGAAATAATGTTAAGAAATAAATTAATTATTGCTCATCTTCTGCAGCCGTGCATTTTTTCCTTTTTTGTTTTTTATATAATGAATGAGAGACACACTTCTGGGGCTTTGTTTTGTCTCCAAAAGGTGAAAAAGGAAATTGGGGATGTGACCATCCTGGTGAACAATGCTGGTGTGATCACAGCTGCCGACCTGCTCTCAACTCAGGACCACCAGATAGAAAGAATGTTTGAAGTCAACATCCTGGCTCACATGTGGGTAAGGGCCACTACCATCTCCATACCTACATTTTTGGAGGGCATACCTGTTGAGGAGACCTATTTAAAGTAACCCTTATTACCAGTGATTTACCAAAGTGTCTTTTGGATGTGTACAGCACAGGGGCACCCTTGGGAAACTTGAACAGCCTCCTGCTGATCTGAGCAGGCTGGTGACAGCCTCATGTGCAGCATCTGTCAGAGCTGTACTGGGGCTTACAGAGTGGGGGGGTTTCAGCTGTTAAGCAATATTTGTTTGCAGCTGAAGAGAAGCTGCAGGTTGACAAGTGTTTTATTGTACATGCTGGGGGTGAGCATTGCCACTGACTCCTGAAACCTCAAAAGCAGCAGAGGAAAGATGTGAAAATGAGATCCTGTTTATAGCTGACTTCCTGAAACATTTGCAGAGCAGGTTGCCAGATGCACCAGCTGATCAGAGAACATGTATCACTGGGGCTCTCAGATTGTGAGGTGCTGTGCAGCACAAAGCATTAGTCTCTTAATGACTGATATTCAGGGTCAGTGCTGAATATGCCTAAGAAAACCTTGTTCTTCTCTTCCTTCCTGCCCCCTGCATTTTTGCCTCTTGGATTAAATGACTTTGAAGACAACAAGAGCTTTTCTGCCAGCCATGATGAACAACAACTATGGGCACATTGTCACCGTGGCTTCGGCAGCAGGTCATTTTGGAACTTCTTTCATGGTGGCTTATTGGTAAGTGATTTTTTTAGTCAGCTCGCTTCTTTTTTTTTTTTAATTTTTAATCGTGTCTTCTCCATCATAAAATACCAAGTTATTAGCTCTGACTGAATCGAGAGCAATGCTTGTATGAAAGAATAATCATTTGACACATCAACTAATGAAAGATTTTCTCCTATTTTCTCTCCATCACCAATCCAGACTTTTGCTTAGCAAAAAGGTATCCTCCCTTCTCCTTACAACATAGTGATTCTGTGATTTGTTGTAGAGTTGTCAAGTAAACCCCTAGTGAGTAGTTCTTGATTCTTTTGCCTTTGTGGCAGTGACTGTAGTGTATAGAAATAGAATCATCGAGGTTGGAAGGGACCTTTATGGTCATGAATTCCAGCTGTG